TGTGTGACCCTTGTGTGTGATGGTAGGCCTACAGAGACGAAGGTCAAAACCTCATCCTTGTTCCATCACACGGCATGCATATAGATATATTGTTCGGGAAAGCTTGATATCTACTTTTGAGTGAAGCATTTGTATGTGCGACAGATACCCCAATGCGCCATAGAGTTGTGGTCGCATCAGGCCGTGGTGACCTTGACTTGTCTCCAAGGGAGGACCTGTAATCCACAGACTCGGATTACGACTCCTTGGTTCATCAACCATACATTGGTGACCAGTTAATGAGCCCTTGCTTGGACTGTAGGTCATGAAAAACATTGGGTCGGTTCGATAAAACAAGTATGGTCTGTAGTCCACTATTGAAGTTGGAGTATCCCCTGATCGTTGATTGAATTCCTTAACCATATGGATCCAGTTCAATTCATATTAATTTAATTGTGTTTATTTTATTATTAAACTATTTTAAATTTATTATTTGAATTTTTATATGTCATTTGGTATTTTATTTCATTTTTTTGGACTAATAAAAATGAAGTTATTAATTTAAAAAGTTATAATGTTTTAAAATTTATTTGGTTGAATTTTAAAATATTTATTAAAAATTACATGGGGGCCCATTGTGCACAACGGCCCACCATGTGGGTATTAGGTAGGGCCCCTCATACCATACATAGGTGGCACGCCCACCCCTAGATACCTTCTCTTGTTGCTTTGTCTTCAAGTTTGTTCAATATGGTAACTATAGCTTGTAGCATATGGTCAAATACTGATTAGGAAATATTGACCATACCTTATCTTGATTATTGAAGGAACATCTTGACTTGATATTATTGAAATATTCTTAAGGAAAATATGAGATGGAATATGCAATTTATGGTATGCCCTATATTTTTAATGGATTTAATTTATTTAAATTTATTGATGGAAAAATGGTTTAAGAAAAATGGGGATAATGCTTCATGCACCTTCCATAATATTGATGGCCAATCTATAGAATGGATTGCTCAAATCTCTCACCCCATAAGTCACCGTGATCAACGGTCCATATTCAATCTCTAGAAAGAGCCAAACTGTAGGAAACCCTAAAGAAACCCTAGCCCTAAATTTCACTATAAATAAGGGTGCTCTGCCCCCATTCGTACACACCTCTCTCTCTTCCGTAAACTCTCTCTCTCTTTACTCCATGAGTTTCTCTCTCTACTCTCTCTCCTAAAAAGACCCTAGGGGGCACACACCAACATAGAGATTCTCTCTCTCTCTTGAACGAATCTAAGGGTTGGAAAAATTAGGGTTTGAGCCTAATTACTTTGGAGTTAGGGTTTTGTAGAGATTTTCAGGTGGTTACCTAGTTTAGTCGAAATTAGCATTTCGGTTCGAGATTGAGGCTAGACTACTGCTCCCGCACCGTTGGATGTGGTGATTCGGTGTGGGGTGTTAAAAGACTGATTGAGGTAATCTCTTGCGTCTTTTCTTTAGATTTTTTGTTCTTTTATTTTATATTCTCAAGCACATTATTAGGTTGTATGAATGACATCAAGAAGTTGAGATTTATTTTATTGATGTGTTATTTATTTTAGAAATTTCTATTGTTTGTACTATGACCAACTGTGTGTGATCTTGTCGGCAAAATTATCAGAGGTGTTATTATTTAAAAAAAAAAAAATTGTATTTCCCCGACAAAAGATTACATAGGTCTTTCTTTCATTGGCATCAGAGCTAGTTTTACTTGATTGCCATTAGGACTCTTTTCTTATTTTTGTTTGAGAGTAGAAATATAATGGCTACTCGTTCTTTCATCTTTGAGATCATGAAAGCCGAAAGGTTTGATGGGACCAACTTTGCTTCTTGGAAAAGAAAAATCAAATTTGTGCTTTATGAAGAAAACTTGCATGAGGTACTCTTTGAGGACCGACCTAATGGTCCACCTGATGACTCATCTCAAATAATCAAAGATGAGTACGCCAACCGGAAGAGGAGAAACTTGAGATGCAAACACATTCTTTTATGTGCCATGACTGAGTCGTATGTTTTTTAGTACGAGTCAATCTATACTGTTAGTGAGATTTTTGATTAACTCAATAGTGAGTATGCTGAACCCTCTCTCATGAAGCAAACTATGGCTATGAGAAGGTACAATGACTTAAAAATGGTAGAAGGTACCAAGTTTGCAGATCATGTGCACTTGTTTCGTGCACTAGTCAGACATTTGGAACATATAGGCATGTTGCCAAACGAATCTATGCAAGTGATTTATTTAATGCATTCTCTTCCTATTTCACGAGAGACTTTCATATCTTCCATCTCTGCTAGAGGAAAGGCACCCAAATTGGAGGAACTCATCACGACCATCAAATCTAAAGAAGAAAGGAGGAAATCAAGGCAAATCCAATGGATGTTGTGCATGTGCTAAAATCGCAACCATCTTTTAAATTAAAGAAAGGAAAGGGAAGAAATACTTTTGAGAAGAAAAGATATTTCGAAAGAAGAGATTTTGGAACTAAGGGAGCAAAGAGAAAGACTCGAACTTGTTATTTTTGCAAGAAGGTGGGCCACATAGCCAATAGTTGTCTGCTCAACAAATCTAGTGGAACTAACAAGGAATTGGCTTGTGTAGTTTTCGAGTCCAGGCTAGCTAACCCCAACGAAGCTTCTTGGTGTCTTGACTCGGAGGCTACGACCCATGTCAAAAACACCAAAAAAGGTTACCGTTCTTTCACTCCCATCGGGCCAGGACAGCAGCATCTTTATATGGGAGGGAATCAGAAGATTGATGTACTTGGAGTTGGAGATTTTAAGTTGAAACTAAAGAGTGAGAGCACCTTGATTCTAAAACAAGCACTTTATGCTTCTGATATGAGGTAATGCTTGGTTTCTATTCTTAAGATATTTATGGCTGGATTCATAACCATTTTCACTGGGGAGAAAGTGGTGGTCAAGAAGGGGAAAGATGTGATCATGACTTGACTTGTAAAAGGGCTATTTACTATTGAAATAAAAGAGAACGATGCTTCTGACACCTTTCCTACTAAATTAGATGCTTCCCTTTGGCATATGAGGTTAGGACACATTAATATCAAAGGAATGGAAAGATTAAAAAGGAATGGGATTCTTCATAATTAAAAGAGAGATTTATCGAAAGTGTGCGACTTTTGTGTCCAGGGAAAACTAATAAGGAAAAATACCACCAAGGCAAAAAGAGCTACTAGCGTACTGAAAATCATTCATAATGACATATGTGGACCTATGAGTGTGACCACCAAAAGTGGAAAAAGATATTTTATCTCTTATATAGATAACAACTCGCGATATGACCATGTGTGCCTTATTCATGCAAAATTAGAAGTCTTAGAAAATTCAAAGAATATAAGGCCCAAGTAGAGAATCAAACCAACCTGAAAATTAAAGTTCTTAGAACCGATAGAGTGGGGAATATTCATCTGACTTTTTCAAAGAATTGTGCATTGAAAATTGGATCATCCGTCAAGACATCATGCCATATACTCCTGAACAAAGTGGTGTAGCTTAGAGAAGGAATAAGACCTTAGTGGAAATAGTAAGGAGCATGATGGGGCATGCAAATCTCTCATTGCAGTTTTGGGGAGAAGCCGTATTAGCAGCATGTTACATCGTTAACTGGATTCCCACAAAAGCTACCCCACTTACTCCTCACGAAATTTTCACAAGTCGTACTCCCTCCCTTGAACACCTGAAAGTTTGGAGTTGCTCAGCCCATGTCCTTATCCCACATCAAAATAGAACCAAATTGAAACCCAAAACTATCAAATCCATTTTCATTGATTACCCAAATCATGGTAAGGGGTATTGATTCTATAACTTTAAAACTGGTACGGTTATCAAAAGCCACGATGCTCACTCCTTTGAGGAAGAGTTCCTTGAAGCAAGGTTGAGTAGAAAACAAGCCAACTTTTATTAGGAGGCCAAAAACTAAGATGTAGTTCGAGACTCTGAACCTGAAACTTCTAAAACAACCCAACCTGTTTGTGACTTCGCTAAAGAAAGTGAACCTTTACCTGAACGAAGACGAAGTAACCGAGTCAGTAAACCATCTCATTGCAAGAACATTTTTTCTACATTGGAGAACATTTTGATAAGGTTGGGGAAGATCTAGATTCAAAACTTAGAACTCACCATGAAGCATTGATCTATCCTGAAAGGGAATATTGGGAAGAAGCCATTGCAGATGAATATGCGTCCATTAATAAAAACCATGTATGAGAATTACTACCCCAACCTGAAAAATATAAGGGCATTGGTTGTAAGTGAATTTTCAAGAAAAAGTTGAACTCTAAAGGGAAAATAGAAAATTATAAAGCTAGGTTGGTTGCAAAGGGTTTCACCCAAAAAGATGTGATAGATTATGAGAAAACGTTTTCCCCTGTTGCCAAATTTCCATCCATCCGAAACCTTATAGCTAAAACAACCTATTTTGAGTTTGAGGTTCATCAAATGGATGTTAAAACTGGCTTCCTAAATAAGGATTTAGAAAAAAAAAATTACATGACCCAACCTGAGGGATTTGAAGAGAAAGGGAAAGAGAACCTTGTATGCAAACTTAATAAATCCCTTTATAGCCTGAAACGAGCATGGCGACAGTGGTACATAAAATTTCAAGAGACCCTTGCTCTTGCAAGATTCTCTACAAATAATGAGGATTATTGTATATATCTAAAGGTTAGTGGGAGTGATGTGATTTTTATATCGTTATATGGGGATGATATGCTAATTGTTAGTAGCTCAATTACCCTAAAAGTAGCAACGAACAAATTCCTTGCACAACTCTTTGATATGAAGGATCTTGGAGAAGCTTCATATGAGTTGGGCATTAAGATAATAAGAAACAGGAGAGAGAAGACTATCAAAATTTCTTAGCAACCTACTGTAAGAGGATACTGGAAAAATTTGATAGGAGTATGTGTAAGCCCATGTCAGCCCCAATTGACAAAAAGACGAAGCTTAGTAATAAAATGTATCCTACCGAAGACATGGGTATAAGAGCAATGGAGAAAGTTCCCTACAGGAGCGCAGTTGGGTCCCTTATGTACATCATGACAGGAACAAGGCCTGACTTATCCTTCGTTGTGAGTCTGGTGAGCTGTTTCCGAAGCAATCCAAAAGAGGTGCATTGGAAAGCAGTAAAAAGAAATCTCAGATATTTAAAGAGGACCACGAACTATGTGCTCATATATAAGGGAAGAGCAGAAATAGCAATAGAGGGATATTCAAATGCAAGCTATCTCGCCGATTCAGATGATGTGAAGTGTAGATCTAGGTATATATTTATGCTTGGAGGGGGTGCGGTTTCTTGGAAGTCAAAGAAACAAGATATTGTGGTTTTGTCCACCATAGAATCCGAGTACGTGGCATGCTTTCTAGCAGCCAAGGAGGGTGTGTGGATTCAGAAGTTTCTTAATCAGCTTAATTTCCGTCTTGTACATTGTGAGGTGGTGCGGATTTCCATCCTATACATTCGGTTTCACAAGAATTCCAAGCATATCAATCCATAATTCTATCACTTGAAAAATGAGGTGAGATTGGAAGAGATCGAGATCAGCTATATATCTACAGATTTGATGATTGTAGACCCTCTGACTAAGGGAGTTGTCCTTAATGTTTTTGTAAGACATGTGAGAGAGATGGGAATGAAGGAAAGGGAGGAAGAGAGAATGTAAGGCCTTCAAAGGCCAACTGAGAGATGTTTGGTTTATGTGGCCTTTAAAGGCCTTATGAGTGTGTAATGAAAAACATTTATTTTAGTGGAACGTAAACTCAGTGGGATTGTTATCACTTGAAGACTATACTAAGCAAATGATATTTGCGAATACCGGACTGTGCTTGATGATCTGGGCAAGTCGGTTGGAAAACCCAAGGTACCTGGGCATAAAAAATAAACCGAGAAGAGTTTTTGGGTTAGCCCTTGATGAGGTCAGAGCTTATTCTTAGAAGAGTAAGCCGAGGGACTGTGTGACCATTGTGTGTGATGGTAGGCCTACAGAGACGGGGGCCAAAACCTCATCCTTGTTCCATCACACGGCATGCATATAGAAAGATCGTTCGGGAAAGCTTGATATCCACTTTTGAATGAAGAATTTGTATGTGCGACAGATACCCCAATGCGCCATAGAGCTGTGGTCGCATCAGGTCGTGGTGACCTTGACTTGTCTACAGGGGAGGACCTGTAATCCACCGACTTGGATTACGACTCCTTGGCTCATCAACCATACAATGGTGACCAGTTAATGAGCCCCTGCTTGGACTGTAGGTCGTGGGAAACATTGGGTCGGTTCGATAAAGCAAGTGTGATCTGTAGTCCACAGTTGAAGTTGGAGTATCCCCTGATCGTTGATTGAATTCCTTAACCATATGGATCCACTTCCATTCATATTAATTTAATTGTGCTCATTTTATTATTAAATAATTATAAATTTATTATTTGAATTTTTATATGTCATTTAGTATTTTATTTCATTTTTTTGGACTAATAAAAATGAAGTTATTAATTTAAAAAGTTATAATGTTTTAAATCTTATTTGGCTTAATTTTAAAATATTTATTAAAAATTACATGGGGGACCATTATGCACATCGGCCCACCACGTGGGTATTAGGTGGGGCCCCACATACCATATATAGGTGGCACGCCCACCCCTGGATACCTTCTCTTGTTGCTTTGTCTTCAAGTTTGTAAAATATGGTAACTATATCTTGTAACATATGGTCAAATATTAAGTAGGAAATATTGACCATATCTTATCATGATTATTGAAGGAATATCTTGACTTGATATTATTGAAATATTTATATGGAAAATATGAGAAGGAATATGCAATTTATGGTATGCACTATTTATTTAATGGATTTAATTTATTTAAATATATTGATGGGAAAGTGGTTTAAGAAAAGGGGGATAATGGTTCATGCACCTTCCATAATGTTGATGGCCCATCTATGGAATTGCTGACTCCGATCTCTCACCCCACTAGTCACCTTGATCAACGGTCAATATTCAATCTCTAGAAAAAGACAAACTATGGGAAACCCAAAAGAAATTCTAGACTTAAATTTCACTATAAATAGGGGTGCTCTCCCCCACCTCTATACACCTCTCTCTCTCTCCAACAAACTCTCTATTTCCCATAAACTCATTCTCTCTCCTCCCTAGGGGCCACGGCCCACTCTCTGCTCTCAAACTTTCTCTCTCTACTCTCTCTCCTAAAAAGACCCTAGGGGGCACGCCCCAACATAGAGACTCTCTCTCTCCAATGATCTAATCCAAGGGTTGGAAAAATTAGGGTTTGAGCCTAATTATTCTGGAGTTAGGGTTATGAGAAATTTATGGGTGGTTATCTAGTTTGGCCGAAATTAGTTTTCCCGGTTCAAGATTGAAGTTAGACTGCTGATCGCGCGCCATTAGCTGTGGTGACTCGGTGTGGGGTGTAAAAAGCCCAGTTGAGGTAATCTCCGGCATCTTTTCTTTTAATTGTTTGCTCTTTTATTTTATATTCTCTAGCACAGTATTACATTGTATGAATGGCATCAAGTACTTGAGATTTCTTTTGTTGATGTGTTATTTAGTTTTGCGATTTCTATTTTTTGTAATAAGACCACCTGTGAATGATCTTGTTGCCAAAATTATTAGGTATTATTAAAAAAAAACAGCTAAAAATAGGGAAATTTCGCACTTTGGTAGTCTTGAATTTTTTATTTGTTTTGAATCCTAAAGATCTTAAAATAGGAAACGTTTGGACCTTTAACTTCTGAATTCTTCTTTTTTTTTTTTGATCCTCATTATCCAAAAATAAGGCAATAATGGAAAAAAAAAAATATGGGGCTCCTAAGAACAGGTGTACATGTAATATCAAAAATTTCGAATGTAATAAATAAAAATTTTAGGTAAAATTAAAGTTTATTACTGCTCTACCAAGTTTATATCTATTATTAAAAAAAAAATTCAATAATTTAAAGAATGACCAAATTGCATTTTTTTTATTTTCAAAATCCAATATTTATTTTTGCGTGAACTAAGTATGATTGAATTTTTGAATTTTCAAAATTGAAAATTTTATAGTTGTCAAATTTTAAAAATTCGACAATTATAAAAAAAAAAATTTATAATTTGGGTGTCAGAAATGTTTTTTTATTTCGGATACAAAAGAACGGAAAGTCGGAAAATTTTGGACATTGATAGTCTTGATTTTTTTTTTTTTTTGGTATCCTTAAGATTTGAAACTTGGTAAATTTCCGATCTTTAAGGTCTGAATTCTTTTTTTACTTAGGATCATTATGATACAAAAAATTCGGGGCTGCTAACAAGGGATATACATGTAATATCCAAAATTTTAAATATAATAAGTGAAACTTTTAAGTAATATTGTGATAACTCTTAAATGACGGATATATGTGTAATTTTTCCTATTTATTTGGACTCCTATTAAACCAATCGCATATCCTTATCACGTCATACACTTTTTTAAGATATCTATTTGTGGTGCCCTTTTTCTTCTAAACCAAATATTATTTGCTTATTTGAAATAAATATTGAAGGGCTGAGATTTTCTCTGGCGACACTAGTGGCATGATAACTCCTATTTTTAGTAAAGTTTGTTTGAAGCCTTGAATGAATACAAAAACCAATCAAAATTAGATTTTCTTTAAATAATAAAATAAAGGCCCGTCCTCTCTCTCTGTTAAATATCCTAGAAACACAACCATCATTTTCTCTCTACTTAAGTAAACCAAGAAACTCCATTTCTTGTTTGTGCCACTGATCAATACTTTGTTCCTGTAGCCAGATAAGAACGAAAAATAAAGAGGTGAACCATTTCCGAAGGTATCTACTGATTTCTATATTATTTTGTACGTGAGTTTCATCTTTTCAAAAGATTTACAACGCAAATCCTAAATATCTGAAAATCTGAAGATCAAAAAATAGGGCAATAATGGAAAATTTCGGACCTTGAAGTTTTGAATTTTTGTTTTATTTCGGATCCTGAAGATAAAAAAATAGGGTAATATTGGAAAAAAAATTTGGGACTCCTAAGAACGGATATGCATGTAATGTCCAAAAATTTAAATGTAATATGTGAAAAATTTATGTAAACGGGTAAAAACTCTTTAAATGACGGATATGTATGTAATTTTTCGAATAACTATTGGATCCATTTAAACCAAATCCCAAATCCCTACTACGTCATACTCTTTTTAAGATATGTATTTGTGGTTGTAATCTTCCTTTTCGTGTAAACCAAATAATATTTGCTTTTTCTGAAATGAATAATGAAGGGCTGAGATTTTCGTTGCATGATATTCTTATTTTGTAAGAACTCCTATATTTGCTCAAGTTAGTTTGAGTCTATTTAATGCATACTACAACAAATCTAAATTAATTACCCGAAAATGAAGAACAAATCTGAATCAGAAATCTTTAATATAAATTGAAGGAATAATTTAGAGAGGGCACGCCACTTCCTCCCCAAAAGAAATTACAAGGCCTCGCATCTTCTTCTTCCTCTCTAACAAAGATATTTGGTTCTTGCAACAACAGAGAGAAAACCGAACGGAGAACCATTTCCAAAGGTAAGTTCTGATATATGTATTGTTTGTACATGAGTTTCATGTTTTCAAAAGATTAACTAGTGACTAAACACAATTAAATACCTTGTTAATCACCCAAAGATTCTCAAATTTGCCTTGACAAATTACTCAAACATTTTTGAACCCTTAAATCATCACATGGCAAGATATGGTAAATCTGCAGAAATGAATAACCCTTTTTCCATCTCCATTGTTCAGGTTCACTTGCAGGTCCACCAACTTCTTGTTACTATGGACTCTTTCCGTGGCTACCGCTTCTTGAGTGGCTTCTGCACGGTTGAACTGGAAAGCAGCAGAGTTAGGTTGCGTTCTCCGATAGTTGACCCTCAAGCCCCGATACAAGGAAACATAATCATCCAAATTGACCTGTCTGAGCACGTATCGTTCACTAGTTTACTCGCTCCCCCGCAACATAAGAAGCGTATCACCATCATAACCTTTACCCAAAGCGTAAACACCAGATCAATTACTTATCATTTTTTGAAGGATGAGTTGCATCGTATGGATGTGCCCAACCAAGTCATCAACCACGTAATCAATCACATTATTGATTAATTTTGGGAGAAATTAGAGGTCATTAACAGCGAGGGCATGGCACCCCAAGAAGCACTTTGGTAAAGTTGTCGATGGAGATTGTGAGGGAGGTAGATGATGCAGTTAAAGTTGAAGCATCAGCTCTTGTCGAAGACTTTGTTTCTAGGACAGCTGCTGGGCATGCAGTGGAGTCCTTAGAGAGGGTAGATATGAAAGAGGACGAAGAAATTATCTGCACTATTTGCATGTACGAGATGGATTTTGGAACAGTTGATGTGAGGGTGATGCCATGCTCGCACAGATATCATGGAGAGTGCATTGCTACTTGGCTAGCGAATAGAAGCAGCTGTCCAGTGTGCCGTTACCAATTGCCCACTGCGAACTGAATTATTTCTCCTTTTGCTTTTCTTTGTTCTCTTTTTGGGTGTGTTGGTGTAAAAAAATGTGCATGACCTTAAAAGTGTTTTTATCTGATATTCTTTGTCATAGATGTACTAGAAATACTTGCTGGAATCAGCCTTTCTTCTATTCTTTGTCATGGATGTAATACAAATATTTGCTGGTATCAGCTTTTCTTCTCTTCAATGTACGATCATTTTTCTCACGTTAATCTCTTCCACATATGGTCATTGTTATTTTCCATATTCTTGTTTTAATCTATTTCTATCATAACTGGACATACCAAACAACTTAATTGAAGGTATGGAAGCTCAACAAGAACTGAGGGGTTGTTTTTTCTCTGATTTTCCTTTCGGGAAAATGTCATTTAATAGGTGAAAATCTTCTACAAAACCATATAAAGACGTCAAACAATCTTAATTAATATTGGAGAGTTTGTTTCTGAGGTGTTTAATCTTCTCATATGATGCTAGTACACAAAAACTATATTAACAGGCTATGATGCTAGTATACAAAAACTCCTTTTTAAAATTAAAAAAAGGATAGGGCAATTGTTTTGTTACTTCCAATCCGATCTTGAAAAGGAAGAGCAAATGAAATTTTACAAACCAAATGGAGGAAAAGACTTTTGTTCCTAAATTTTTTTCCATTATAAATTGCTTAAACTTTCTAAAAGAGATAAACCAAAGGGTGCATTTAAGTCCTTTGATACAATTACTAAGGCCTAGTCATTACTAGAAAAGGTAGAGCCGCACCTCAAAATCCCATTGAATAATGCAGTTCCAGCACAACGAAAATTTAAAATGGACAGTCCAAAAATCATTTTATTTTTCAGATCTATAACTGGAGAGGTCAAGATCATCAATTTGAAGATTTTCAAATGCAAAATTGGAAATCTCCGATGAGAATTGAAATGTCCAGCTTTGCTTTTATTTTAATCGCAAAGCCTAGATCTTCCCCTAACGTTTTCCTAGACCAAATGCAGCAGCCATTTATGAAGAAATCATTAACTTTAAGGCCAAAGTTCCTAATAAACATGGTATCAGAAAGAATTCTATCACAGAGTCAAAGGTCATAAAAAGAATCTGGAAGCTATCTCCAAACAGCCAACAACAATACTGCTGGGTTTATGTGGCCTTTAAAAGCCTTATGAGTGTGTAACGAAAAACACTTATTAGAGTGGAACATAAACTCAGTGGGAGTGTTATCCCTCGAAGACCATACTAAGCAAATGATATTTGCGGATATCGGATTGTTGCTTGACGATCTAGGCCATTCGGTTGGAAAACCCAAGGTACCTAGGCAGAAAAAAGAAACCGAGAAGGGATTTTGGGTTAGCCCTTTATGAGGTCGGAGCTTCTGCCTAGATGAGTGGGCCGACGGACTGTGTGACCCTTGAGTGCGATGGTAGGCCTACAAAGATGGGGCCAAAACCTTATCCTTGTTCCATCATACGGCATGCATATAGATAGATAGTTCGTGAAAGCTAGATATCCACCTTTGGGTGAAGCATATGCATGCGCGAGAGATACCCCTATGAGCCATAGAGCTGTGGTCGTATCAAGTCGTGGTGACCTTGACTTGTCTCTAGGGGAGTACCTGTAATCCCCAGACTGGGATTGCGACTCTTTGACTCATCGACCAGACTTTGGTGATCTGCTAATGAGCCTCTCCTTACACTGGGGGTCATGAGAAACACTGGGTCGGTTCGATAAAACAAATGTAGTCTGTAGTCCACAATTGAAGGTGGAGTATCCCATGATCGTTGATTGAATTCCTTAACCATATGGATCCACTTCCCATCCTATTTGTTTAGTTTTGTTTATTTTATTATTAAATTATTTTAGATTGATTATTTGAATTTTTATACGTCATTTGATATTTGATTTCTTATTTTTGGACTTATAAAAATGAAATTATTAATTTACAAAGTTATCATGTTTTAAAACTCAGTTTGTTTAATTTTAAAATATTTATTAGAAAATACTTGGGGACCTATAGACACATGGGCCCACCATGTGGGTATTAGGTGGGGCCCCACATACCATACATGGGTGGCACGCCCCACCCGTTGATACCTTCTCTTGTGGCTTTGTCTTCAAGTTTGTTAAATATGGTATCTATATCTTGTAGCATATCGTCAAATATTGATTAGCAAATATTGACCATACCTTATCTTGATTATTGAAGGAATATCTTGACTTGATATTATTGAAATATTCTTATGGAAAATAAGAGATGGAATATGCAATTTATGGTATGCACTATATCTTTAATGGATTTAATTTATTTAAATATATTGATGGGAAAATGGTTTAAAGAAAGGGGGATAATGCTTCATGCACCTTCCATAATGTTGATGGCCAATCTATGAAATGGATTGCTCAAATCTCTCACCCCATAAGTCACATTGATCAACGGTTCATATTCAATCTCAAGAAAGAAGCAAACTATGGGAAACCCTAAAGAAACCCTAGACCTAAATTTCACTATAAATAGGGGTGCTCTCCCCCGATCTCTATACATCTCTCTCTCTTCCATAAACTCTCTCTCTCTTCCCTAGAGGCCACATGCTTCTCTCTACTGTCTGATTTTCTCTCTCTACTCTCTCTCTTAAAAAGACCCTAGGGGGCACGCACCAACATAGAGATTCTCTCTCTCTCATGATCTAATCTAAGGGCTGGAAAAATTAGGGTTTGAGTCTGATTACTTAGGAATTAGGGTTTTGTAGAGATTTATAAGTGGTTACCTAGTTTGGCCGAAATTAGCTTTTTCGGTGCGAGATTAAAGCTAGACTACTTCTCCCGTGCCGTTGGATGTGGTGACTCGGTGTGGGGTTTAAAAAGACCGGTTGAGGTAATCTTTTTCATCTTTTCTTTAAATATTTTGTTCTTTTATTTTATATTCTCAAGCACATTATTACGTTGTATGAATGACATCAAGAAGTTGAGATTTATTTTATGGATGTGTTATTTATTTTTTAAATTTCTTTTGTTTGTAATATGACCACCTGTGAGTGATCTTGTTGGCAAAATTATTAGAGGTGATTATTATGTAAAAAAAAAATTATATAGCCTCTGCAAAAGGTTACATAGGTCTTTCTTTCATTGGTATCAAAGCTAGTGTTACTTGATTGCCATTAGGATTCTTTTCTTATTTTTGCTTGAGAATCGAAACATAATGGCCGCTCATACCTTCATCTCCGAGTTCCTGAAAGCCGAAAGGTTTAATGGAACCAACTTTGCTTCATGGAAAAGAAAAATCAAATTTGCGCTCTATGAAGAAAACTTGCATGAGATACTCTTTGAGGACCGACCGTATTGTCCAACTGACGACTCATCTCAAATAATCAAAGATGAGTACGCCAACAGGAAGCAGAAGAACTTGAGGTGCAAGCACATTCTTTTATGTGTCATGGCTGACTCGTATGCTTCGGAGTATAAGTCAATCTATACTGCAAGTGAGATTTTTTATTAACTCAAAAGAGAGTATGTTGAACCCTCTCTCATGAAGTAAACTATCGCTATGAGAAGGTCCAATGATTTCAAAATGGTAGAAGGTACCAAGTTTGAAGATGATGTGCACTTGTTTCGTGCACTAGTTAGAGATTTGGAAGATATAGGCCTGTAGCCCAATGAATCTATGCAAGTGATTCATTTAATGATATCTCTTCATATTTCATGGGAGACTTTCATATCTTCCATCATTGCTAGAAGAAAGGCACCAAAATTGGAGGAACTCATTACGACCATCAAATCTGAAGAAGAAAGGAGGAGTTCAAGGCAAACCCCAAGGGATGCTTTGCATATGGTAAAAACTCAACCATCTTTTAAATTGAAGAAAGGAAAGGGAAGAAATACTTTTGAGAAGAAAAGATATTTCAAAAGAAGAGATTTTGGAACTAAGGGAACAAAGAGAACGACTCGAAATTATATATTTGCAAGAAGGTGGGCCACATAGCCAATAGTTGTCTGTTCGACAAATCTAGTGGAACGAACTAGGAATTGGCTTGTGTGGTTTTCGAGTCCAAACTAGCTGACCCTATGAAAGCTTCTTGGTGTCTTGACTCGAGGGCTATGGCCCATGTCAAAAACATGAAGAAAGGTTACAGTTCTTTCACTCCCATGAAGCCAGCACAGTAGCATATTTATATGGGAGGAAATCAGAAGACTGATGTACTAGGAGTTGGAGATTTTGAAGTGAAACTAAAGAGTGGGAGCACCTTGATCCTAAAACAAGCACTTTATGCACTTGATATGAGGGAGTGCTGGGTTTTATTTCCTAAGATATCTATGGCTGGATTCACAATCATTTTCACTGGGGAGAAAGTGGTGGTCAAGAAGGGGAAAGATGTGATCATGACTTGACTTGTAGAAGGGCTATTTACTATTGAAACAAAAGAGAACGATGCTTATGAATTAGATGCTACCGTTTGGCATATGAGGTTAGAAAACATTAATATCAAACGAATTGAAAGATTAAAAAGGAAAGGGGTTTTTCATAATTATAAGGAAGATTTATCAAAAGTGTGCGAGTTTTGTGTGCGAGGAAAACTAATAAGAAAAAATACCACCAAGGAAAAAAGAGCTACTAGTGTACTAGAAATCATTCATAGTGACATATGTGGACCTATGAATATGACCACCAAAAGTGGAAAAATATTTTTTATCTCTTTTATAGATGACCACTCGTGATTTGGCCATGTGTACCTTATTCACGCAAAATTAAAAGCCATAGAAAAATTCAAAGAATATAAGGCCCAAGTAAAGAATCAAACAACCCTGAAAATTAAAGTCCTTAGAACCGATAGAGTGGGAGCATATTCATCTGACCTTTACAAGGAATTGTGCATTAAAAATGGGATCATCCATCAGTACATCATGCCTTATACTCTTGAACAAAATGGTGTAGCTGAGAGAAGGAATAGGGCCTTAGTGGAAATTGTAAGGAGTATGATGGGGCATGCAAATCTCTCACTGCAGTTTTG